AGAGAAGATATGTTAGAACACAATATGGATCTACATCCCTAGAAGTTCTGATTATGCAAGCATAGAAGATGAGAGTATTATGATATAATCAGACACATCCTTCTTAGAAGAAAATTTGCGTGACACGCTTATATGAAGAAGTTCTGTTACAACTTCTGAATGCACCAACGCTGTGAAACAGGATCTCTGATACTCTGATCTGTAAAGTTCTGAAACAAGAAGTAAGGGACTCCCAACAGTAACTTTCATCTTCTTATATGAGCATGTTCTGAAGCATTACATTTTAATCAATGCATATCAAATGTAACGGCTAAAAGAGGACAAGAATCTCCTTGTTTGGAAAATATTAATTCCTATTTTTCTCCTTCCAAAAGCATCTTCTTATGTCACTCTTGCATGGCCTATATAAAGAAGACGTATAGAAGAAATCATATGAGGAACCACTGCGCACGAAAAGGAAAATCACATTACCCAGTTCTACCTAGTTATCTTAAATTGTGTAATACATCACAATTGTAATAGTGTTGTACTCAGAAAACATATTTGTACACACTTTCAAATATATTACTTTGTAATTTCTTGAGAAAACCGGGTTGTGGTTTTAAACCCTATAAGACATTGACAGTTTTCATTATGATTGTGTAATCAAGTTTGATTAGTGGATTAAGACCTCGCTTGAGAGAGGCGAAATCACCTTGGCAGATGGACTGGAGTAGTTTGAGTTCAAACGAACCAGGATAATCGACATGTTCTTTTCTTTAAGTTTTAATCCCAATTCAATCCCCTTCTTATGTTTTTCCATTCTTCAATTGGTATTAGAGCACCTGGATCTGGGTGCAAACACTTAACCGTGTCAGAAAAAGATCCAAGGTGTAAAAACACTATGGTGGAACCAAGTCAGAACATCAGCAATGATTATCATGATGAGAAAGACAAAATCACCAGCAGACCCCCAATATTTGCGGTGAAAAGTTTAATTACTGGAAAGACATAATCAGAAGTTTCTTTCTAGCTTATGTCGCTGATCTCTGGGATATGGTGACTGATAGATACATACATCCTGTTGATGAAAAAGGTCATAAGATTGACAGAAAAAGAATGATAGATCATCAAAAGAGAGATTTCAGAAATCATCATAAGGCTAGAACTATTCTCTTGAGTGTCATCTCATACACAGAGTATGAGAATATCACAAAAAGAGAATCAGCAAGACACGTGTTTGACTCCTTGAGAATGATGTATGAAGGCAACACGCAAGTCAAAGAAACCAAAGCTCTTGCGCTCATTCAGAAGTATGAAGCCTTCAAAATGGAAGAAGATGAAACCATTGAAACAATGTTCTCGAGATTTCAAATTCTGGTTGCTGGGATAAAAGTTCTGGATAAAGGGTACTCAACCGCTTATCATGTAAAGAAGATCATCAGAAGTTTACCTAAGAAATGGAGACCCATGGTCACAACTCTTAAACTGGCCAAAGATCTGAACAAAATCTCTCTTGAAGAACTTGTCAGCTCCCTGAGAAGTCATAAGATAGAATTAGAACAAGATGAACCTCAGAAGCAAGGTAAGTCTCTCGCTCTGAAATCTAATAAATATGAACCCAAATTTTTGCAAGCAAAAGCATAAGCAAAGAACTCTGGTGGATTATCGTCAGAAGAAGACGAACTGTTCCTTCTATCCAGAAGAATCAATCAGCTATGGAAGCACAAGCAGAGGAAATTTAGAAATTCCAGAAGAACAGGGAATCACTCTGAACAATCTTCTAGATACAGAAAATCCAGTAACAGAAACATTACCTGTTACGAATGTAATGAACAAGGTCATTACATGAGTGACTGTCCAAATCTTCAAATAGAGAAACCTAAAAATAATCTCTCTAAGGAAAAGAAGAAAAGTCTTACGGCAACGTGGGATGACTCTGAATCTTCTGAAGATGGAACAAAATCAGAAGATGAACGAGCAAATATAGCTCAAACGACCAACTTATTAGATGACTCTGAATCATCTGAATCAGAATCAGAATCAGACTCAAAGTCAGAAAGATATGGGTACCAAAGGATAAAATCATCTATGTTGCATGTATTTTTAACAGCAAGGTTGAAACACCAGTTTTAACACTTGGATTCTGGATGCTCTCTACACATGACGGGAAGAAAGCATATGTTCTAAAGCCTGTAATTTAAATCTGGAGGATTCACAAGTTTCAGAGGCAATCAGAAAGAAAAAGTTATTGGCTCTGGAACTTTTGGGAACGGTAATGAGAATACAGTATCAGAAGCTCTCTAAATAATCTCAGTTGAATCCAGAAGAGGATGTCACACATTTTCAAGCAACTTCTGTCAAAGCAAGTCAAATAGAGTCTTTACTACTTTTTGATTCTTCACAAAAAGGGGAGATTGAAAGATATTTTGACTCCTATCAGAAGCTAGATCAGAAGATCTTCAGGGAAGTATTTTATTTTGGATGTTATCTGAGTATTCTACTCAGGGGGAGTTTTTTTAATTTTTTCTCTCTTTATATTCCATCAAAATATACAAGTTTTTGTCATCATCAAAAAGGGGGAGATTGTTAGAACATAGTTGGATTCTACATCCCTGTAAGAGTTTTGATGATAAGAAACACATGATATATATATATATATATATATATATATATATATATATATATATATATATATATATATATATATATATATATATATATATATATATATATATATATATATATATATATATATATATATATATATATATATATATATATATATATATATATATATATATATATATACACTCGCTAATAAAGTATCTTAATATGCAGGGAAGTTCTGTTAGAACACAATATGGCTCTACATCCCTAGAAGTTCTGATTATGCGAGCATAAAAGATGAGAGTATTATGATATAATCAGACACATCCTTCTTAAAAACAAATCTGTGTGACACACTTATATGAAGAAGTTATGTTACACCTTCTGAATGCACCAACGCTGTGAAACATGATCTCTGATACTCTGATCTGTAAAGTTCTGAAACAAAAAGTAAGGGACTCCCAACGGTAACTTTCATCTTCTGATATGAGCATGTTCTGAAGCGTTACATTTTAATCAATGCATATCAAATGTAACGGCTGAAAGAGGACAAGAATCTCCTTGTTTGGAAAGTTCATTAATTTCTATTTATCTCCTTCCAAAAGCATCTTCTTATATCACTCTTGCATGGCCTATATAAAGAAGACGTATAGAAGAAATCATATGATGAACCACTGCGCACGAAAAGGAAAATCACATTACCCAATTCTACCTAGGTATCTTAAATTGTGTAATACATCACTGTTGTGATAGTGTTTTACTTAGAAAACATATTTGTACACACTTTCAAATATATTACTTCGTAATTCCTTGAGAAAACCGAGTTGTGGTTTTAGACTCAAGAAGACATTGACAGTTGTCATTGTGATTATGTAATCAAGTTTGATTAGTAGATTAAGACCTCGCTTGAGAGAAGCGAAATCACCTTCGCTTAAGATTTAATCCCAATTCAACCCCCCCCCCCTGTGTTTTTCCATTTTCCACACTCTACCACCTAGAGTTAATTTCGCTTCAAATTGACAAGAGGGTCCCAAGTAGATTTCAACCTAGGATTCACTCCACTAGTAAGGGAAAGACTCGAAAAGTCCCCAATTAGCTTTAAAATGGAAGAATCTACAATAATCTCAATTAGACTACTCTTATGACCCTTAAACATAGTTTTAGTGGTCCACATATTCTCATTTGAAGGCTCCGTCAAAATGATAATATCATCAATAAAGAGACGAGAAATCTTAAGACTAGAGAAACCAACTCTAAAATAACACAGTAGTCTCAAATCCAAAACTCTCCTAATTAGACTATTAAGACCTTTACCCACAAAAGCGTAATAAATAAACGGGATAAGAGGATCTTCTTTCTTCAAATCCCTTTGAATTTTACCAGAACAGTGATTATAAATAATGGCAGTATTTTTAAAGTGGTTTCACATTTTGTTACAGAAATTATGGTGGTGGTGATTATAAACAATAGTAGTAGTAGTAGTTTTATTCTTCGCAGTTTTTGCTTTTAAATTTTGTCATAGTAAGCATTTTTTTATTACAAAATAGTTTTTTTTTTTTGTTTTTTTAAAATTGATCGTAATGAAATTTAGATTTTTTTTTTCATAATATCTAACTTTTATTAAGAATATTGATGTCATTTATGAATATACATTTGTTTTATTTTTTTCTATTCCTGTTCATTTACTTTTAACTTTTGTTTTCTTTTAGGTTATTTCAATTATTTTTTATAGATTTAAAGCTATTTTTTATTTGTTTGGTTGAAATTTTGAATTAATCTCTATTTTTTAAATGTTTCTGAGTAATAGTTATATTATATTTTTTTAATATCTAATTTATTAGACGATTAATCCAATTTGAGAATCAATTTTTTCATCAAATAATTTTAATTTTTTTATAGTCAAACCGTAATTCTCTCAACTAAATTTAAAACTAACCACCACTGAATCACAATAATTATACTCTTTTAACTGATTAGCAAATTCAAATACTTTAAACCAAGCCCACTTGAATTTAATATTGATAAATTCTTAGGTACAAATAAATCGATTTTTGTTGAGTATTGATATTTTAAGCAAAGTCTATTTACTATATACAATTAAACAATACTATATAAAATATTACTATAAATTACTATAATAGATAAGGTAACAATAAAAAAATGAATGAGATATACATAAAGGGGTTACGTGTGCTTCAAGCCAAAAACCCACAAAACCTTTTCACATTATTTTATCCTATTTTTTTTGGTTTTCCAACTTCACTCTCTCGAAATTCTCTCTTCCTTTGATTGTTTTTCGCAACTAAAAAAGAAGAATCGGTTAAGCTTTTGAATGAGGTGAATTTCTTCACGTGAGGATAATTCATTGAGTTTTACGGTTTTTGAAAAAAGAAGAAGAAGGAAACGTGATTATGGTGATGAGAGAGATGCGAAAGTCCTTCAAGGATTCTCTCAAAGCTCTTGAAGCTGATATTCAATTTGCCAATACTCTGTAAATTTGTCTTTCTTGTTTTGTAATTTGTAATATTCAATTTCGTTGATTTGATTGATGAATTGTGAAATGTTAATTGTTGTGATTGTAGTGTCATGATTTTTGAAATATTTGATTTTGTGTTTTTGTTATTTATAATTTGAGTGCATATGTTACGTCTTATATTTTGTAATCCATTCATTGACACAGAGCTTCTGATTATCCAAGAGGAAATGATGGAGTCTGCTTTCAAATGAGACTGTCTTATAGCCCAACTGCTCAGTTTCTTCTTTTTCTCGTTCAGTGGACTGATTGCCATCTCGCCGGATTCTTAGGATTGCTTAGAATTCTCATCTCCGAGGTACGTTTGCTACTGCTCGATTCTGAATACACTTTTCCTTTGATTGTCTCAGCTCAACCTCTTGAGATATGGCGCGGAGAGTATTGTAAATAGATGTAACCATAGTGTGGACTAATGCGATCATTTTACTGTCGAGTTTGTAGTAAAATGTTGGAATTGTTGCAGGCATATGATGAAGGGAAGAAAACCACCATTTATGAAAGAAAAGCTAGTCTAAAGGAGTTCTATGGTAAGTGATTAATCACTTTTACTATTAATCGTAGCTTCGCACCAAGTCTTCTGGAGAACAGTTTGTCCGCAACAGTTTTGAATCTATGCCGTGTCTATGTATGACTTTCGTGTTCGATGACTTGAAATTCAAATTTGATATGCTTTTATGCTTTTTAATATCAGGTGTGATCTTTCCGTCTTTATTACAACTCAAGGGAGGAATCACTGAGGTGGAAGAGAGGAAACAAAAAGATTTATGCGCTACGAAGTACAAACTGAAAGATGTGATTAGAAAAGGAAAGCCATCTGAAATTGATATAGAGAGAGAAGAAGAATGTCCTATTTGTATGGAGATGAACAACAAATTTGTGTTGCCAAATTGCAACCATTCTTTGTGTATGAAATGCTATAATGACTGGTAAGAAACTGTGACTTACAACTTATAAGTAGCTACATATCTTTAAGGGTATCAATATTAATATATTATCCCCGCAAACGTGTAATGTGTAGCATGGCAAACACCTTTGAGAAAAAATGTGTCTCTATCCGTGTCGCCGACGCGACACAGACACTTGTAATTACGTTTAATTTATTTATTTATTTTAAAATCATTGTCGGTGTCGTGTCTGATATATGTGCTTCATAGTTTTTTTTGCATATTTATGAAGTTACTATTTCTATAACAAAATATAAATAAAGTTAAATTGTTTCTATATAAACTATAAACTGCTTTCATAATCTATCCAGAAGAGTTTAAAAAAATAAGCTGAAAACAACTTATGGACATATCATAAGCTGTTATATTAAGCTCTCCCTAACAGTTTAGTAGTTAAACTCAAATAAGTCAATCTAAACAGTTCTTAAAACTATTTAAGATTTTAATCATCTAGAATGTGATTGATTATTTGGCAAAGCCATTCTATTGACATTGTTTTCACTTCTAACAATCATGTTTTTGCTGTTTGTTTTAGGTACACAAGATCTCGATCATGCCCTTTTTGCCGGGACAATCTTAAGAGACTTAACTCTGGTGAGCTTTGGATCTACTTGAGCAGCAGGGAGATAATTGATTTGGAATCAATCAACAAGGAGAATCTGAAAAGGTTATTCATGTACATTGATAAGTTGCCTCTGATTTTGCCAGATCAAATATTCATGTCTTATCCTCAAAGCTTTTGATTTTCATTTAGTGAATTTTGGAGATCATGTATGACTTCAAATCAATGAGGAGAGTCAAAGTAGACTTTACATTAGTGTACATTCTCAAGTTACCTCAAAAAAAATTATTTCTCCAATATATTTCAAAATGTAAATACTTGATGGCTTTTAGTCAAATGATATTCGGCTCTAATCTATTTTATGATTTGACTCTAAGGAACTCTTTCTAAGGGGTGGGAGTTTGGGTAAACTTTGTTTATCAAATTGACTTGTTGTTTGATGTAGCTGGTTTCGTGGGGGTGGTTTAGAGTGTGTTTGTTTTAAGGGGATTGTGATTCATCGTAGAAGTTGAAATTTTCCGCATTCCCGCAATCATGGTCTATAGTCATCCAATTTAAATTGGACGGTTGTGATTTTAAATCTAGCTTTCTAAAGTTCAAATCTAACACCATTAAATAGTGAAAATGTGTTTAGGAAATATTTCTTATTTAAAAAGATGTTGGAAGTCGTATTGTTATTGAACAATAGTTATGTTATGATGCCACTTGTTGGATATGCGATTCCACATCCAAGAATGGTGAATTGTTGGTTTTAGAAAAATTATGGTTTATGATTATTTTCATAATTTAAATTTTTTTTGAAAACGTTTTAGAAATTAACAGCGGAAAGTAAGTGTGCGGAAAGTAAAAAGTGAAGGGAAAGGGAAAAAAAACATCTGAAATTTATATAGGTTCAGTCAAGAAGACTTAATCTTGTCCCCATGATTTGATATTAAGAGTATCCAGTAATTCTTAAGTGTTTTTAGTAGGTTAAATTCTCGAACGATTTTAGTAGGTTAAACTCTCGAACCCTTTTATAGAAGAAAAAATAATTTTCAACAAGTTTGGTCAGGTTTTTGTCCTAACTTCTTGGTCAATTTTCGTCAAGTTCTAATTTGTTTTAGCTAAAGTGGTTAACATGAAAGTTGTAGACAATTTTTCAAGCTTTCCAAAACATCCAAGAGCATGAATTTATCATACTTGAGCTAGGAGATTCAAAGGCATGAAGTTGGGCATCCATTCTTGAATTACAAGTCATTTTGGTGAAGAACACATAATCCAATCTACATGTTATGCTGCATAATCTTGTTTGCAAGCCTTCTAACTTGAAAATCTCACCATAATTTAATGTTTACACAAATTTTTGAGCTATGGTCCATATGATTTAAGAATTGTCCAAGTGATCTTTCCATTTTGGCACAAAGTTAACATTGTCATTCTTACGAAGTAGCTTTAATCACAAAGTCAGCTCTTCTTGAGCCTCTAACTTGTTCCTTCTACACACACTCAACATACAAAATCAGACAAGCATGCTTAAAGTGTCCAACAACTCTATGAAGCAAAGTACAAAGCATTGGAACTATGATCTTCAAGCTTGCTTCATGTACAATCTAACCTAGCCACAACATGTGATCTTGCAAAATCTGATCAACCCTTATCTTAAAACCTCTTGCCTATAAATAGAGAGATCATTTGCAAGATAAAAAAGGATGATCAAGCCATCAAAAACCCATATACTCTCAAAAAACCATAATTATGCACAAAGCCTCCATTTTTGAGCTTTGAAGTCCAAATCTTTGAACCTCTCACACCTTGCAATTTTTGCCCAAACAAATCATCCAAATACTTCAAATACATCATATAGAAGTTGTTCAAACACAAGAAAAACTTTTGTAACATCATTATCACCATCTTTCAAACTCAAAAAACAATGCTTTGCAACTTGACTTGGTGGGAGTGATTCAGCAACTTTCAGCATAAAGTAAGGATTGGAACAACTTCAAGGAGGTCCAAAGAATCTTAATCAATCACCACTTTGCACCCGAAAACATCCATACGTATTCTAAACTTTTCTCTTCAAGAGGTAAATTTTCTTAAACTATAATATCTTTATCCATACAACATTTGCTTTTGCTTTCGAAAGGATACAATATGACAAATCAAAGGGTGACACGGGTGCCTGTGTCACACGATACGGCCCGTGTCAGTTCAGCTAGGTTAGAAATTTGGCAAAGTAGGCAGGACAGAGGCTGACACGGGTGCCCTTGACACACGACACGACACGTGTCAGTCAGAAACATGCAAAACAGATAGGACAGGGGTTGACACGTGTGCCCGTGTCACACGAAACGGCCCGTGTCAAATTGTATGGAACAAAAATATGCAGAGAGGCGTGGAAAGGTGCTGACACGGGTGCCCGTGTCCGGCGTCACGGCCCGTGTCAGCCTAGGCATAAGAAATCCTGATTTTTTGACATTCTTGTTATGATTTTGGATCATTAAAGTTACTTTTGACAATTGCATTGCTTGGAGATGGCCTAACACTATACAAAACCTTTTTCAAGATAAAACATTTAATTTATTTTCTAAAATAATTGAAACTACAAAACCTTTTCTATAAAAACCCTAAAAAACAATTTCTTTTTATTTTACATTTTCTTGCGCATTTTACTATTTTGCATTATAAACTATGTAATTGTCAAAGCCTTGTAATAGTAATTAGGGTTTATTTTTACTTGTCATCCCCATTTGTAAATTTGTATCCCCTCATCCCCCAAAGTATTGTAATAGCGTAGAATATTTAATTTATGTAATTTATCGCTTTCCTTATTATTGCTAGTAATTAGGGTTTGTATGGCAATACTTGAAATCAATCTTAGACAATCCTAATACAAGATAAAATACATGAAAACAAAAACACCTTACACACTTGTAACTCTAGAGTAACCCACACTTGTTGCCTTGGATTGAAACATTCATATCCCTCGAACATGGGGTACTTTAGTAAAAACCCTCTATTACAAGATCGTAGTCCCTCGATGACTCATTCGATGTTGTCTTTGGTAAACGATCTTAGTCCCTTACAATAAATTACTAAGATATCCTACATTGTTTCCTTCTATGACTGTATGATGACCCACGTCTGCCCCTCACATCCAATGATATGGTTTCTTACTAATTAATGGTAAGATAACACTATCTAAAGAAGGAGGGAAAGAACAAAGACTTTTTGAGTAGGTAGAACGCTCGTAGTTTCTTGCTCACAAACATTTTAAAAACAAACATCTTTCAAACACACCAACACTTTCATGAAATATTTTCAAAAAGTCAAACACTTTGTATACATTCTTATAGAGACGATAATCGTTACAAAGTTTTCCTAAACGAAGACACTTTTCAAAAATAATTTCAAAAAAACACAAACACGTTTACAAAGCATTTTCAAAGTGAGCTAGCAACTAAGAGCCCGTAGATAACTACGGATGAAAAGGGTGCTAACACCTTCCCTTTTCATAACCTATCCCCCGAACTCAAGAAAATTCTCAAAAGGCCTTTCCTGTTCTTTTCACCCTTTCCTTTATTGGATAAAAGAAAAGTCGGTGGCGACTTTTTCTATCCGCAATAATTGCAATAAAACGCAAAACACGCAAGTCAGTTCTCCCACTGTATCACAGAACTGACGACTCTGCTGGGGACTTTAACTAAAAGTGGGGTTACCTTAGGGATTAGTTCACATTTAAATGCTTTCATTGTTTGACTTGCTTTCTTTACTCTTAAAAGGGTTGTTTGGGTTTTGAATAGATCCCCTACCCGGATCTGGGAGCATTATTAGGTAAGTAGCAATAGATCATGGAGACTGTACGGCGTAGACCGATATGGTTAAAGCGATGGCTACGTTAGTGTGACACATTTGTGGGTACCGATATCATTTATGTTGAATCAAAGAGAATGCGGGGCTGCTGTGTGGTGTCATGAAGCACTAACTGATCATAGAACTTTAGTTGAACAACTTGACCATTAGAAAGTAGTGAGATAGCCGGCTTTGGTGCAGTTCGAAGTTGGTTGATACTCGATACTACGCTCATTGAGATCTAAATTTTGGGATATTTCGGTCGCCAAAATAGAGGCTTGCGCTGAAACAATTCCCGGTGAAGAAATATCAATGATATTGAGATTCCCTAGAACCCAGTTACTTTTTATGACAGGTTGAGCCAACTAAACTTCAAGAGGGTACTTACCTATAAACCTCACGCAAGCCTAAACCTAAGGTCTTTGTGTGATTTGTTTGTGATTAATTATTCATGATATCATAAACATCATGACATCATGACATCATGCCATAACATTTTCACTAACCATTTCAAGGATCTAAGGGTTTATCTTTGTTCTGTTTTGTAGGATATGGCTTCCACTCACAGAAACACCATCTGAATCAACCTTGTAAAAGTGCCTCCTCAACTCAAAGAGTTAGCATAAAGGGTCCCTGAAAATTCTCCATTCACCAAGAGATATGGCCGACTTCTCAACCTGGTTACTTCAAGCTTTGAAGAAGACATGGTGCATGTGCTCTTTCAATTCTTTGACCCTAAACATTATTGTTTCACATTTCCTGATTATCAATTGGTACCCATCATGGAAGAGTTCTATCAACTATTAGGAGTACTTATTCTTGATCAAATATCCTTCACCGGTATTGAGAAAGATCCACAACCTGAGGAGATTGCATCAACCTTACATTTGCAACGGTCTGACATTGTGGCTAATTGGGAAACAAGGAGCACATTCAAGGGTTTTCTAGCTAAATTTATGTTGGAGAAGGCTCAATTGTTTTGGGATGCTTTGGATTTTAAAGCTTTTGAAGAAGTTTTGGCTCTCCTAAGATATGGTTTGGTATTGTTCCCTAATCCAGACCAACTTATAGTGTGAATGCAGTCAAAATTTTCCTCTCTCGTGACCCGGTGCCTACCTTGCTCGGAGAAATTTTGCATTCTCTTCACACCCATAACTTGAGGAGAAGAGGGATTCTTATGTGTTGCATACCATTGCTATTTAGGTGGTTTATTTTGCACCTTCCTCGATCAGTTTTGAAGAACGAACAAGGCTTGAGGTGGTCTCAAAGGATGATGTCGCTCTCTTATTCGAATATTCTTTGGTGTTTCCGATCTTTTGAGGATATTAACATCGTTGACCGCTATGAGAAATT